GGGGAATCATTTCCTTGGGGGTGAAAATGAATTTTTTTAGCATATTTTTTATCTGCCAGCCTTTCAGAAGCTTTCTCACACCATGCCACCTAGCCTATAAATTGTCTCTATAATGGAGTATTTTTTTGAGGTACAAGTGATTTTGGGGAATCATTTCCTTGGGGGTGAAAATGAATTTTTTAGCATATTTTTTTATCTGCCAGCCTTTCAGAAGCTTTCTCACACCATGCCACCTAGCCTATAAATTGTCTCTATAATGGAGTATTTTTTTGAGGTACAAGTGATTTTGGGGAATCATTTCCTTGGGGGTGAAAATGAATTTTTTTAGCATATTTTTTATCTGCCAGCCTTTCAGAAGCTTTCTCACACCATCCGACCCAGCCTATAAATTGTCTCTATAATAGAGTATTTTTTTGAGGCACAACTGATTTTGGGGAATCATTTCCTTGGTGGTGAAAATTATTTTTTTTAGCATATTTTTTATCTGCCAGCCTTTCAGCAGCTTTCTCACACCATGCCACTAAGCGTATAAATTGTCTCTATAATAGAGTATTTTTTTGAGGTACAACTGATTTTGGGGAATCATTTCCTTGAGGGTGAAAATGAATTTTTTAGCATATTTTTTTATCTGCCAGCCTTTCAGAAGCTTTCTCACACCATGCCACCTAGCCTATAAATTGTCTCTATAATAGAGTATTTTTTTGAGGTACAACTGATTTTGGGGAGTCATTTCCTTGGGGGTGAAAATGAATTTTTTTAGCATATTTTTTATCTGCCAGCCTTTCAGAAGCTTTCTCACACCATGCGACCCAGCCTATAAATTGTCTCTGTAATAGAGTATTCTTTTGAGGTACAACTGATTTTGGGGAATCATTTCCTTGGGGGTGAAAATGATTTTTTTAGCATATTTTTTTATCTGCCAGCCTTTCAGAAGCTTTCTCACACCATGCCACCTAGCCTATAAATTGTCTCTATAATGGAGCATTTTTTTGGGGTACAAGTGATTTTGGGGAATCATTTCCTTGGGGGTTAAAATGAATTTTTTAGCATATTTTCTTATCTGCCAGCCTTTCAGAAGCTTTCTCACACCATGCCACCTAGCCTATAAATTGTCTCTATAATGGAGCATTTTTTTGAGGTACAAGTGATTTTGGGGAATCATTTCCTTGGGGGTGAAAATGAATTTTTTAGCATATTTTTTTATCTGCCAGCCTTTCAGAAGCTTTCTCACACCATGCCACCTAGCCTATAAATAGTCTCTATAATAGAGTATTTTTTTGAGATACAACTGATTTTGGGGAATCATTTCCTTCGGGGTGAAAAAGAATTTTTTATCATATTTTTTTATCTGCCAGCCTTTCAGAAGCTTTCTCACACCATGCCACCCAGCCTATAAATTGTCTCTATAATAGAGTCTTTTTTTGAGGTACAAGTGATTTTGGGGAATCATTTCCTTGGGGGTGAAAATGAATTTTGGCCTAACAGACAAGGTAAGAAATCGTTTTAAAATAAGGTAATCTCAAAATACTCTTCGTGGTCTTGTAAAGCAAGGTTTAGACAATAATTTAGGTATTTAACAATTTGGAAAATTATAATTTTTAACAGAGTTTTTGAGCAGTGAATATACCCATTTTTAGATATTTTCAGGCATTAAATCACTTATAACTTGAAAATAGTCAGCTTCAGCGAAAATTGAATGAAAGACATTTTTATTCAGATTGATCCAAGACACCCAGAAAAAAATATTTTCGGAGAAAAAAATTGTAATTTATTCAAAAAATGGTTTCAAACATATTTGATTTGAGTTACCCTGCGGGTATACTCAATATATCTTTTTGATTGATCTTAATTATGTGAAGTCCTTGTAGAAGTAAATATTTAGAATACGAGAACATATTGAAGTATCCTCGTAGTTGTACCAAACCTCTACGATTTCAAAGCGCGCACGCAGCGCAGTGCATATTATTAACCCGTTCGATGGCTATTTCAAAACCATATTGAATCACAAGCAAAATGTAATGCTAGTTTCGCATAGATAAAACCTAATCTCTATCTGTTATTAACGAAAAATGGTACTTTAGTGGATTCCTAAACTGTCATGTGCATTCTGACAATGATGTTCCAGAGTTGTCACAAACTAGATAAAATTCGCTATCACAGGCAAAATGTAACGCTAACATCGCATAAGGTGTCTATTCTTTATCTAGTGATAAGAAAAATATTATTATATTGGCGGTTTTCTAACCTGACATGTTCATAATTACACACCTGTTACATGGTTATCACAAACCACGTGGAATTTGCTATCACAAGCAAAATGTAACTCTAACTTCGCATAAGATACCTAATCTCTACTTGGTATTAAGGAAAAAATATATCTTGACGACTTCCTAACCTGCCATGTTTAAACTTACAGTCCTATTTCATGGTTATCAGGAACCAGATGAAACTTGCTATCACAAGCAAATGAGAAGACATTGTTGACCATACCATGTTACTACATTGTCCAAACACTTTCAGTGCTGTTATTTGTGCAACGGAAATCAGTATCGGGTCATTAGACCAAACATCTTCATTCGTCCATGGTGTGGAGCTGACTATCACAAGCTAGGTCCATGTTGCTATCCCAAGCAACCGAGTCCAATGATACAGCGTTATCCCAAATGTCTTCGTTCATCCTTGGTGTGGAGCCAGGTCCACCCTGCTATCCCGAGCAACCGAGTATAATGTTTCATCGTTATTCCAAACTTTTTTGTTGGTCCTTGGTATGGAGTTCGTTATCACAAGCTAGGTCCAGGTTGTTATCCCAAGCAACAGTGTCAGAACATTATCCCAAACGTCGTGTTAGGCACACTCTGCAGCGCCAGTGAGGCATTCAAACTAATACTCACTTAACTTGCACCTACAACAGATTGGATAGTCGACAATTACTTGATGCTGACGCCACTTCAGAGAACGATGCCTGCACGCCACTTTCTAATTTTGCTCCGCGACGAAAAGAACCTAGAGGCGACCGTCGGTCGGTATCTCGTTCGACAATGCACATCTATCGGCCAACCTTCCGTCCTGTTCTCTGATTCAGCGGATCCTCGACACTGCTGAAAACGTAAAACGACGCTAAGGTCGCACGTCCCTTTTTTCAACTGTGCGTTTGGAGCAGTATTATGAGCACTTATTGTCTGCTTATTTCAGGGTGTGTATAAAACTGACTCATGTTTTTTTTGTCAAAATGACAACTTTTTTTTGCCAATTTTTTTACAGTCCCAGCTTCGAAACAAATAATCGTAAAGACATGAAATTAAGTGATTGCATTATGAATCAATAAAGGAACGTCCTTTATCGCTCATTTTCCACATATAATTTATTTTTCGCATAAAAATTTTCTTTTTCTTTTGAAGGAAAACGATTTTTTGAAAGTATGTGGATAAAAGACATAAAGAACTGAAAGAACAAGCCATCAAAGAAAAAATTCTCATTAGCTCAAACGGTTTTTGAGTTGTAGATGTAATTTGACAAATATTTTGGCAAAACCACGCCTCCCGCTGACCACGCCCTCGGCGGAAGATTATTGGCCCTATTTAAGACAGGTGCGTCATTCGTCATGCTGACTAGTTACCGTGTTGCCACGCGTGTGATTTATTCTTTGAGTACATAAGTGTTGTAGCTGTGATTATTTTCATTGTTTTAAGGGTATTTCGTGCTAATTGGTGTTTTGTTCTAACGTTATTCTCGCAGTTAGTTTTTGTTAAAATGCCTAAAGCCCGTGCTCCGCTATCAAGGAGGAGGAAAGAGATGTCTACGTCGAAAGAATGCTCTAAAAGCAAGGTAAGTATTGCTTTACTCGGGTTTGACAAATTCGATTTGTATGAAAACTATATACTCCAAACAAATTAAATTTGGCAGGTATATTAAGTAGTAATGTAGCAACCACACATGCATGGCACAGCATTTGTATTTCATCTGCTGTTATTCTAGATTTTATTATTGTTTATGCTATTTTTTCAAAAATAGCATCCGTGGAAATTCCAGAAGCAGAGTTTTGCTTTCACGTTAAAAACTACTTAGCAATATACTATGCCAAAAACCAACGTGACTGAACTGAACTTCAAAAGCAGAGAGATATATGAGCAGCTAAACTGTTAAACAGGAACTTCAAGCGCAACTGTTTAGAAAGAATTGAAATGCATTTTGAGGAATTACGAAATTGATTTCAAGTCGTGAGTATATGCTCAAAACATCTGTCATGGTTCGAAATGCACAAACGACGTCTACGTAACTAATCTTTTCAGTCTGCGGAAAGCCTGTGGATTTTGCCTTAATGCTGTTGCTTCTGCTCTTAGATTCTGGTGCAAACTTGAAGAGGCTAGTACACGAACAATAAAAATTAAATTTTCGTCTTCTTTTCATTATCTGTATGTAATATTTCATGCAATTTTCCTTTTTTTTCACTGCTCATTGTTGCTAATTATTGTAGGATTAATACCTGGAAATTCCCAAAATCTGGAGATAAAGACGGATCAAAAAGGAAGGTAAATAGTATATTTGAGTTGCCGGTGTTAAAAGAAAGCAGTAATTAAATGTTTGTTGTTTCAGAGCAGCAGCAACAGCAATAAGGAAGAGTCCACACGCTTTTCGCAGAGTAAAAGGAAATTTTAGAGCGAATTATGTTTATGCATTTCGAACCGAAATACATGGTTTAGGCATATGTCTGAATTAATTATGAACCTAAGTTACTTGCGGTTAATTTTGAATGTGGACTGTCATGAGACCATCCTATACATCTCATTGAAGTATTTATTTACGACTCAAACCAAACTGGATATAGCGTGTTTGTAGAGTAATTCTAACTTACCATAGCTTTATTTGAACGATGATGTTTTTTCCTTATTTAGCTTCATCAATGGCGTAAAATATATACCTTGTAGTGACACGTTTCTGGATTCTTTTATCTAGGTTTTATTTTTCCATGTAGTTTGTACTTTCCATATTGCCACATTTTTCGGAATTACCCTGTATCAATAGACTTATTACAGATTACTGCAACAGAGCAGAAATGAAAATGACCAGGAATCTACATCACCCACAATCATCAGCTATCCTCCTCCTGCTTCTACTGCCAACAATAAGGATGAAGATACTAACCCATCATGTGATAGCGAATACGAGGATTATTTCGAAGTTACGGGTGATGAAAACTTCCGAAATATTTCTGAGGAACTAGAAGGCAGGAGAATAGTGAACTTAGGCCATATACTATTCGAGTATGGAAAAGTGTTAAATCACTCTAAAGCCTGTACAATGGGCAGAATGGATTTTGTGGAGGAAAAAATGATAGGACATCTCGTCAAGCTACACTTTTTTGCGACAACTGCGAAAAAAGAATGGTCATTGAATCTGAGCCACCCTGTACTACGAAGAAATCCGTTAATACAGCTGCAGTTTGGGGGAGTATTTCGACAGGAATTGGTCACAGCCAACACGAAGAGTTAATGGGTGTTTTAAATGTACCAGCTATGACTTTCCGAACTTTCAGGAAGAAAACATCAACTGTCAAGAAGGTAAGTCAAATCTATCGGAATTATTGAATATAAAAATTAGCGCCCCACTACTTTGAAAGTTTTTCTCAATTTAGTTGTTTACCTACAAATGTGCGGCTAGATTTGTGTTATTATTAGGCATGATAACTTAAACAGTTCATTATACAAAACTCACCCTATATATGACTCAGTTTAATAGCTAAGTGTTGATCACTATGATAGTGATTCTACTAGGTACCTAATAGATGAAGTGATTGCGTTTGGCCAGACAACATAGCGTCCTAATTTGTATTTGTAAAAATTTTTCAAACATGCTTTTCCTGATTCAAGGTATGGGAAGAAATTCTGAACGATGACATGAAAGCTGCTGGCATTGAAGAGAAACGGGTTGCAATTGAAAAAGGCAATCTCATGCCTGATGATACCCCATACATCACCGTTATCGTTGACGGAGGATGGAGTAAAAGGACCTACGGGCATGGATATGATGCCTCTTCTGGTGTAGTAAGTTAAAGCCCTCCTGATCACATACCTTATACTAATGATAAATATTTTAGGCTGTTATTATTGGTGCTGAGACAAAGAAACCTCTTTTCTTGGGTGCTTGTTTTACGACAAAAAGGATATTCCACCAAAACCACATGAATGTGCTAAGAACTTTAGTGGACCATCGACAGCTATGGAGCAAGACATCATAGTTGATGGATTTTGTCACAGTGTGGCACAGCATGGACTTGCTTACAAATATTTAATCGGTAAGATGAATGATTGAAAACGGAAAGGATAATAAAAATGTGTTTACATACACGAACACTTGTAACAATTTGTTTTAAATCACTTCTGAGTAATATTATCTAATTTTCCATGAAAAGATTACAATTTTTGTAAACATTGTCCATTAATACCTTAATACATATTATGGTTGACACGGATTATACACAATCCAGGTATCGGATATCAACTTCAAATTAACTTGTATAAGAGGTATTCTCAGCTACCTGGTTATAACTGTGAAATTACTACCTTCAGGGAAAACGTAATAAGCCATATAATTTCTATAAGTAAAGCTAAGTTACAAAAAAAGGCATAGCTTTTTTTATCAAATTTTGAATTTCAATATTAACTCCTACACACCGCACAATTTTACGGCTTGGGAAGGTTATGAGTCATTTTTTGCAGCCGTTTGTAAGAACGATTTATTTGTTCTGATACATGCATCACAGAAATCAATTTCATTTATATTGTGTTATCTCTGAAAATAACTAAGATCTAACTATATTTATGCACAATTCCAGGGAATTCAGCATACAAACAAAAAAAGATATCTCAGAAACCACATAGCACTTAGGGCATTGCGGTTTTCAACAAAAAATCATGAAAGAGCCTTTCCAATTACCCAAAAAATTGTCGGCTTATGTACCATTGACTATGTATGTTTATTATATTTAAGCCTCACTTTAAAGTTTCATTGTTCACTCCACGCTTGAACAAGTGTTTGTCCCATTCCTACATTACTACCCAATTAATAGTTGTCATCATTTATCGATGATTATCGGTCGATCAATATCGGTCGCTCAATGATCGGTTGACTAAAATTGACTTGATAGTTTTAATAGACTTTAAACTGCTTTATAGGTGATGGAGATTCAAGCGTCTATGCGCGAATTGTCGAACGAGTACCATATGGTAGACATGTGGAAAAAATAGAATGTGCCAACCACATGACCAGGTGTGTTAACGACAAGTTACACAAGTTAGTTGCAAACACATCATTTCCATTAGAGATGGGAAAGAAGCTCACTGATAAGCAAAATGGAGTTTCAAGAATCGAGAGGATTGTGAAAGGGGTGAGAACGGCCATTATCAGAAATGTGAAAAATGCTAATGCTCTGAGGTTGGAGATATCTAATATTCCCAATCACGTATTTGGACGTCACACAAATTGGTGAGTGAAAAAAGGATACACAATTATTTATTAAGACATACAGAATATTCAACAATGACCTGGGGCACACATTCCATTACAATACTTTTTCGCCAGTGGCGTGAGAAGTGAAATATAGTTGGAACACACTATCGGAGATTTTGGGGTAGTGTACTGTATAAAAATTATGACTTCAAACAGGAATGGCAGACATTTAGTAATATAAATAAAATTGCTGATAAGGCAGTCGGAAAGGAGTTATATTTCGGAAAATTCTGTTATTTCACAAACTGTAATTCTCTAATATTCTATTTCTATTTTAATTCAGTTATTGTGCAAACATGTAGCTTTTATATTGAAGTGTTGTGTTTGCGGAGACCAAAACAGTTTTAAGCTCATTTTTAACAAAAAAAAGTCAATAGAGACATGACTATATTTAACCACATTATGTAATGATGTCACTTTGGCACCTTATGTCTTATTTCACTAATCTGTATCTCATACGTTACGTGCCCAAAACCATCCATTTCGTAGCTTGATGTATTAATGCCTATCTAATACATTTTTATTCCTTTATAGTGGTACGTTCTGCGACAAAAAAAATGAGGTCGATCAAGTTCAATTTATGGGAGATAAACTCCATTTGGAATTAAAAAAGGTCCTGGAGCCCATCGTGACGAAAGCTGATCGACTGGCACACAATCAAACAACAAATCAAGCTGAAAGGTAAAAAAATCACGCTTATCTCATACTTTTTGCTACACATTTATCACTTCTCCTTGATAACCACAAGGTGGTATACGCGTTTCTTGATATCAGCTCATCTTTTGATGAATTAATTTACAATGATATGCACTACTCGAAAGTTGAATTGAATATTATCTAAAACTGCCATTTTCAGGTCTTTGAAACTTATCCAAAATAACCAATTCTCAATCAATGAAACTGAAATAATTGCCAGAAATCTCATAAATAACAGGGTGCAGTAGCCAAATTGGATGAAAGTAGCATAATATTCACTGCCACTGATTTATTGCTGCTGCGTTCCAGTCTGGAACTTAACTTAAAAGAGTTAAATAAATTAAAAACTAATAAACCATGTTTTTAATTTGCAGATATATGTCTCTAGTTGCTAAATGTACGGGGGGTAAGCGAGTCAATTCCACGAAAAGGAATTCCTACACAGCTAGAGCCTACGCAGCAGCTATATCACATTCCAGGGTGGCACATGGGGGCTTTCGAGAAGAAGAACTTCTCCATAGGAGCCACCATGGCCAAAGTCTGTCTGAAAAGAGCAAGGGCGCTGGAAAGGAGTAGAGTAGTCTGCAAGAAAAGACCAAAAAAGCAAGCTTCTAGTGGGCCGGACGTGCATTACGGTCCTAATGCAGCTGCCGAGGATATCAGCGAGGACGAGATGGAAAAGAAGAAAGATAAGTTTCTGCAGACTCTAGCCAAGCGAGTAGAGTCAAGGGAGCAGACTAAAGAAATAGAAACCTCTACAAGGGGTCAGCATGAAAATGCTTTGTGGAGGAGTCTACGCAAAGAATATTTGACTGCATCAAATTTCGGCTGTGTAATTAAAAGAAGAGCGTCTACTCCCTGCCACAACTTAGTCAAAAACTTATTATATAGGACTGATAGCTTGAAAACGCCAGCAATTGTGTATGGCAGGGTACATGAGGTTACAGCCAGGAATAGGTATGAAATGGAAACGGGATCATCCGTTGAAGCGTGCGGACTTTATGTGAGTCAGGAATATCCTTTTTTAGCAGCTTCACCGGATGGTCTCGTCGGCAGGGAAGGCCTCATAGAGATAAAGTGTCTGCCTTCAATTATGGGATCTCTAATCGATGGCGTGAAAAGAACCTCATGCTACTCGGTAGAAAATGGCAATGTATCCCTGAAAAGAAGCCATAATTATTATTACCAGGTTCAAGGGCAGCTGAATATTACGGGACGCACCTTTTACGATTTTATTCTCTATTGCGATTCAGGTTTCCACGTAGAGAGAATTCATAAGGACGAACAACTATGGTGTGAGGTAATGGTTCCCAAAATAACATCTTTTTATAAAGAGTGTATTTTGCCCGAAATCTTAGACGGCAGAATTCCTCGCGGTATGCAAGTACGAGAAAGTATACTTTATCTGAAGTCACTTGAAACACTGTGAAATAATAAAAAAAATATTATATCTATATTTAACACAATCGCCGCAAAAATCGCCAAATTTCGCAGCAAATATCCCCTGTATAAGATCAAAGGCAGTTTCACCGGTCCACGTGGAGTAAAGCACGCCTATGCGTGGACATAGCCAATGAGAAAGCGTATTTCAGAGCTCGGAACAAGTGCAGGTGGCTACTGAAAATTGAAACAGTTTAGCCAGTGCCGTGTAGCGGTGAATAAACGTGTTTTCTTTAGTCTGTCCGTGTTTTTTCATAGATTTTATTAGTTTGTGTGTTTTTGACTTTTGAATACTCAGTTCTCTTGTTGATTTAATTGTTGTGTTGATTGTTCTTGTGTGTCCTAAATATGGCTCTTTGGAGACCTTGGGAAAATGCTCCAAGCCACGAGGAGATGGTTGATGAACCTGTGCAGGCAGAATTCTTTCATAAAGATTTGGAGGAACAGACCCAAAGAGTAATCCTAAATATGTATGATTGTCTGAAAAACGAAAATCCAGATTCCTCGCAAAATCAAATTTTAAACAGAATTTGTATCCTGACAAAAATCAGTCGGTCTACCATTTATCGGGTTATAAAAAGGCGAGATGTAGTCAACCATTCCTTCCACAGAAAGCGCATAGGGCAAAAATTAAAAAGAATAGACGTGGGTTTTCAGAAAGATATTCGTCGTATAATATACGGATTTTATAAAGAAAATTTGGTGCCCACGTTGGAAATGATACGGGATAAATTAAAAGATTATCCTGAAGATTTTTATAATTACAAATGCTTAGACTCACTGCATTGTATTGTAAAACTGTGTGGTTTTCAATACAAAAAATTAGATAAAAGAATGGTGATTATGGAGTTGTCTTGAATCGTTGAATTGCGCCAAGAATTTTTGCACAAAGTTAAAATCTATAGAGAGCAGAAAAGAAATCTGATTTACCTGGATGAAACGTGGTATGATACCCATGATGTTGTGCAGTACGGCTGGATTGACGACAGCAACAAGTGCATTTTAAATGCACCATGCAACCGTGGAAAACGAATCATTATTCTCCATGCTGGCAGTGAAAATGGATTTATACCTAATGCCTTGCTGTTATCTGCCAAAAATATCAAAGAATCATGTGCCGACTATCATGAGGACATGACCTCCGACTTATTTGAAAAGTGGATAGAGCAGCAGTTAATACCAAACATTTCCCCAAATTCAGTGATTATTATGGACAATGCGCCATACCATTCCCGACAGAAAAACAAAATTCCGAATACAGGCACAAAAAAACAAGACATTATTGATTTTATGAAGGATAAGGGAATGGAAATACCACAAAAATCAACCAAAGCCATATTATTGGATCTTATTAAAAGACAAAAATTTGAAAAAGAGTATGTTGTTGACAATCTGCTTCAGCAAAATGGCCATGAAGTATTACGTCTACCTCCCTATTACTGCATTTTTAACCCGATTGAGTTGGTCTGGGCTGCTTTAAAAAAAAGTAAGAAAACATAATCAGACCCCTCAATTAAGTGAATCGCTATTGGCCACAATAAGAGATGCAGTATCTCATATTGCTGCCACAGACCTGTGGAAGCAGTGTTCTAGGCATATTATTGAAAAAGAAAATGAATATTGTGTTTTGCCTCCTGTAAATCTATGATACGTCATGAAATTACAAAGGACCAAAGGTTTTTATGCTATTTCAAGTGACTTCAGATATACCATACAAGCAAACCGATTCAAATAAATAAAAAGGTACAAAACAAGCGGTAGTTAGTACATTATAGTTGATTTGTATTTTATTATTGTCATTGTTATGTCCACCTTTACTTCAAAGCTCATGCTCAGATCGAATATACATTTTGTCAATAAATTTCTTATATTTTGAAAATTTTAAAAGTTCCAATCATTCTTAAATTTTTGAATATTATTAAGATTTCAAAAATTGTGAAATTTGACAATTGTGAAAATTTTATAAGTTGTGAATATTTTATTAATTGTGGAAATTCCGAGAATTTAGAAGATTATGAATTTATTGAAAAATATAGAAATTCTGTAAATTTGAAAATATTCAGGATTTTATAAATTTTGAAAATTTGAATAATTTAGAAAATTTCGAAAATTTTCAAAATTGCATAGTGTGAAAATTCAACATAAATTCTGAAAAAATTGAAAAATCTTGTAGATTTCGAATATTTAGAAAATTTTCAAGATTTTAAAATTTTTCAATATTTTGAAAATCATAATAATTTAGAACATTTTATAAATCGAAAAAATTTTGAAATTTTCTAGAATTTCGATGATTTTGAAGCTTGATAAATTTTGAAAATTTCTAAACTTTCGAAAATCATGAAAATTTTTAAAATTTTTAGGTTTTAAATTTGTAAAATTTTGAGAATCTTACAATTTTTTTAAATTTTGAAGATTCTAAAAATTTTTAAAATTCTGAAATTTTGAAATTCTTTGAAAATATATATTATATACATATGTATGTCTTAGTTCTCGAGATAAATTTATCAAAATCAAGAAGCTGATAAGAAATATTCACCCCCCTCCCTTCCCCATCTGGAGGATATCATTTATGGAAGCCTTTGTTAATGTCAGTTTATTTTATAGATAAAATTATAAACAAAAATACCCCCTACTTCTGGGCTATTTGAAATAGCTTAGGTCCCTCAGTACAAAGGGCGTTACCTCGCTTCAACCCTTGCTTGGGGGTGGAATTTCCAAAATTGCTTTGTGAGTGCTCATTTAATTTATATGTATGAACCAAATATATATAAAAACCAATATTTATATCACGAACTAAAATAATAATAGTTTCTTGATGCACATGGGCACATTTACCTCCATTTCAACCCCTTCGTCTCCAAGGTCTAATCTATATCTGTTCCAAAATGCATCGGAATTGGTTCAGCCGTTTTGGCGTGAAAACGGAACATACAAACACACAAACGTACATACATTTATAATATTAGTAGGGATGCTCATATCTGTATCTAGCAGGTATATTATACTTAAGTGGGATTTTGAAGTTTATTTGTCTATATGTATGCATTTGGATTGTTGGTCCACTGAAACTGTATACAGGGTGACTTCGAAGTTGAGTCATTTATTTTAACAGTGAATAGTTCTGATCAAAAGAAATGTTCTTTTCCTTTACCATTTTTCTGGTAAAATTAAAGTAACAAAGTTATAGCCCTTTGGAAGTTTGAGTACCGCCCTGTCTCAATATCATGTGCTCGTGTTTGGCAACAACGGATATAATCCGCCTTACCGGTTCATCGCATCGGAAACAAAAAAGCGAAAGAATTTGGAACGATGTTTGTGTACAGTTTATTATTTTATTCAGTTCAGTTATACATACAGTCAGTGTCAGTGTCGCGTGTGAATAGTGTCTGTTGCGTGGCTCAAACGAAATAAAAAATGGCACATGTTTATGCGGATCGGTTTCCCAATCGAGTGCAACCAACCCCTCGTGCCTTTGTTAATGTAGTACAACGGGCTCGTGAATCAGGTGACTTAAGACCTCACAGGGGACCTCACGATCAAATACAGGTCCGCACTGAAATACTTGTCGGGAGGATACTTTATAAAACAAGGTAAAAAATTTTTTTAATTTTTTTTATTTTTACACACATATTTTGGTGTATCTTCCTTCTACAATCATTATCTGAAAATTAATGACTCAACTTCAAAGTCACCCTGTATATGTGAATAAACTTATACTACCTATGATGTCTATTTTTTCAAAGTAGCTTATATACATACAGTGCTTTTCAATGGTCCCTCTACTTTTTGTTTGAACGGGTTACGTTAGCTAGCTGAAATTCATGGGTGCAATAATTTTGGAACATCTTTTAAATGGACTGAAAGGTCAGGTGCTACCTCATTCTTACTAGTGCTTTATTCTAGAATATAACATTTCCAAGACTGGCGAACTGACAGGCTGTCAAAGTTGACGGGTAGTTGTATGAAAGGGTGACAATTTACCAAAATCCCATATAGCCTGGCGCCGGCAGGATGACTAGGCCGGTGCGCCGTTCTGGAAACGTTGTGTAATCACACGGCAATGGGTAGGCGTCTTCAGAGCCCAGTGGGCCAGGCGTTCGATTTAATCATGAATTTCGTCATTGTACTGCCACCTTGCGGATATAATTTTTTCTGGGGGGTGGGCTGGGTTTGACAGGAGAACAAGGAATGGGTGGTTATAGGGTGCCAGAGAGGAGGAAGGTAGGTGCCACCTTCCTTCGCTGCGTGCGCGCTTTTAAATCGCGGGGGATTGGTACAACTACAAGGGCATTACAATATGTATTCTAAATATTTACTTCGACGAGGACGGAACATAATCTGCTTCACAGATGGCATTATTGGAAGTGTAAGCTGTAAGTTGTATACTATAGCTAGAAGGAAAGGCACTGCATAGGTGCATAGTGAGGACTTGTGTGCTAATAATATCTGTTGATAATTCCATTGGTTTCTTGTCTCAAATATACTTACTTGAGATTCAAAGCTAGAAATTAGTTGGGCATCCACTTTTTTTAATTTTGATGTCAATAGAAAGTAGCGCCTAGATTTCAGTCATTGCATGCACTGTGGCGATTTCCCATTCAGCAATAATTTTCTGTCATACCGGATATCATTGTATACATATGCAGTCCAATACACATAATCATTCAGATGCGATTTTGCGACTCGACCAACTTCTTTTCTTTCACATCTTTTCAGAGGTAAGCACTAATTGGCTTTCTGCAACCCACAATGGATGTTTGAGCATGTCGTGTCGTTGAGCTATTCCTCCACAGATCTACGATTTTGATGACGCTGACGGCGATCATAGTGAGCAAATGTGGAATAAACTACTTGCAAACTAAAAACTACCTAGTCTGTGAGATGGCATTTTGTCGGCTTTTTTGACGTTTTTTTTTTTTGATGTTTTTTAGGTCTTTTACGTAAAACCGTTGCACTACTGGTACTTTCCAGGTTATAGATGGCCGAAGGATTACCGGACAGAGAGACAGGCAGACCGGCTAACAGGCCGAGTGGCAGACATACAGACCGGCAGATAGGCAGACAGACCGACTGAAATGTGGGGCGTTGTTTTGCTATATAACATTCAAAAAACGTAATTTCTTATTTTCGAATTTTTCCGTAAATACAAATCTTCCTCGCCAGCAGGCGTAGCTGGTAAAAGGAGTAAAATGAGATTGAAAAATTTGAAGTCGGTTTGCTGCTTACGAAGCACAATAACTGCATTAGAACTGCATTAGAACAATATTCAATAACCAACTAGTAAACATCAGTTTTTCCACTGTGTTTTTTTCGTCAGAATTCTATGCTTTATCCGAACAAAAAGAGTCCAGTCGATGTTTTAATACTAGTTGTTGACCAGTTTAGCCTAAAAATATGCTGGAATTCGAAAACCCAGTGCGCCATCTTTGATCATGCTTTATGTCGAAACGTTGAAACTGTTATACTATTCGTCATTATTCGTCAGAGCGGTCCAGTGGAGCTTTGCTCTTAGTTAAAAGTCTCGTCGGTCTGTTAGTCTGTCAGGTCTGGCTACCCAGATACCAAACATGTTTAAGGAGAAAAGGGAAAGAAAGAAAGGAAGGAAGGAAGGAATAGAGCAAAGAAAAGAAGTAAATCAATTGAAATAGCTTAAGCATTATTGCTTCGACTACTCGAATTATTTTGTAACTCCAAAAAACAATTTTGATCGGTTTTGTATACTGAAATAATTTTGACTGGACTGAATATACAATTTAGTTTTGATCACAGTGGGAGGCGCGGCCTGGAATGTTTGCGAACTTGCTCGACTGTGTAGTCTACTGAATCATGCAAAAGATGGTTGCTGTGCGATTCCGCTTGATTATAACGCCGCTGCGCCTGTTGTTTTACGTAATCCCTTAGATATGGGATATCAAGATCTCTGTGAATAGTCGCATTTGACACGTACCAAGGGGCGTTAGTAATTGTGCGTAGGGTTCTGTTTTGTAGGACTTGCAGTCTTTGCATGTGGGTCTTGGCAAGAAAACACCAATCCGCGGATGCGTAGGTAATTGCAGGTCTTATGACCATTTTATACAACCGAATCTTGTTGAACAAACTTAATTTTGAATTTCTGCACAACAAAGGATAAAGCTGCCGAAAGGTAATTTGGAAATTTGTTTTCAAAATATCAGTATGTTTCTGCCAGGGCAACCCCTTATTGTTATTACCTTCTCAGAATGTTTCAGTTACAGGTTAAAATAAATCAGAGATGAATCGAATAGAATCTAAATTAGAACTGAAAAATACGTCGATATTATATTTGATGAGGCCTTCGGGAATGGGATCTTTGCAGTTAAAGTTATGTCAATGCCATCTGAGTGGCCTGAAAGGTAACAATGACAGCTGTTTTTGATGTGTATTAAAGTCACCCCAAAAATGAATATACTACGAGTATAATCCAAAATAATCAACTTTACTTCTTTCAAGGTACTCTAAACAACATAGTGCAATTTGTGATATAACATTTGAATCATGTAAATATCTCCTCATTGGATTCACATTTAATGTTTTATCTACTTGCAAGTTTTCTCTCTTAATCGGTCCTTCCATCTAGAAATGTTTTTATTCACATACTACCAAAAAAAGTAAAGTAAGGACGTCATACTGTATTATCATTTTAGCAACCTGGGATTAAATTCTCTACACGTTTAAATACCAATGGACCACAAGTTGAAACTACTACCCCTTACCGCAATGAGACTGGATGACAGGCTTCCCTTGTCCTTGCTGCCAAAGTGTTCGATGACCTGCCAGTTGGTCTTTCTGATGGGTGCTGTCCTGAGCGTGGTCATCGAGCTGGTGGATTCAATCCTCGTTGAGGGAAGGGGCGTGGATGGGGAGGCGAAACATGCAGGATCCCCGCCAGTGTCTGAAGGAGAATCGCTGCCTCCTCCGTCACCCAGGCGGGACTGTTTTAAGGACGTCCAACGTCGGACCATGCCTCCAGCACCTCGACGCGGCGCCAGAGATACATCCTGAAACAAACAAGATATAGTTGAGGACAAAGTTAGAGTTGTTGCGCGGCAAAGGTAACGAATCCCTAAATCTACCGTTACGTTATCTTTGACAGAGTGTTGGAAGAAAGAAAAGCTTCTATAACCACTAAATAAAACCGTGGTAAATTGAGAGTACTGACTACTGACAACCATGACCTAATGGTTATTTTTTTTATATTGACGTGAATGGAACCCCAAAATTTCAAAGCATTTCAAAAATAGCCTCAAGTAGATTATCTCTATACATCCCACCCATTCGAAAAAACTTCTTGTACCATTATCCACGTAGTGCGAAGGGATCAAAGAGCCAGAAATTCACTGTTTGGGCTTTTCATGGAAAAAAGCTTCCTCGGATTGCAGCAATAATCGTATCTGGAGACGGGAGCCTCACATTACCGGAAAACTGCTTGCCAATAATGTTTGATAATTACAATCCAAGCATTACGCCCAAATAAATAAATATATATATATACAAAGAGAATATGATCATGCGGAGAAAGGTATATAACAACAAGTAGGAAAATAATGGGCAAAATCCGCAAAAAAGAGGAAAGTGGATTCGTGCAGAAAATAGGATAGGTAACCAGAGCGATACGTATTTCTGCTGGTTGGCTTCATCAGGCCCGGAATGAATGCACATATGAAACTACAAAAGTAGATACACATGCCCACATGTAACCTGAGGAAACGAAGTTGGAGGGTCTCCTTGGAAATTCGAGGTCGTATAGCCATTTTATGCTACAATGTGTAGGTTGGCTCTTGTTGTGGACTTCGTGTGTCGTTTTTGTTTATGTGAAATATGTCTAATGGGTGCATATAATTTCCTGAGCTGAGAGTGTATTATTGTAATAACAACAAAAAATTGCTCTACAAACTCCCCCACCGATCTACAACCCCTCACCACCCAACTTTTCACTCCTAGAAATTTTTCAGAAACGTTTGCCATTTGCACGTATCGAATGTGATACGTCGCCTTCCTCCCAGTGCCCAGAGCGAGCGCTGTCATTTGATTATGTGTAACGGAACCCAGGAGAAGAGTTCCGTCTCTCTCCTCTTCGCTTCCATTTCCCTCGATCAGCGTGTACCTTTCTCCATTTGTTTTTAAGATAGATATTTGATTCTGCACTGGAATACTGAAATAAAAATATCTCAAAGATCGGAACAAGTGAAAAATTAATTTTTTATCATCACCCAATCATAATTATTGTCAATAAAAATACCGGGGCGGTACTACAAGACAGCTGGCATGGAATAGCGAGAGTATAAGTTGCAATTAGCGCCCTCTACATACTATGTCAAAAAATAAAATATAGTCGAAATCGTTATCAAAACAAAACATGCGATTTTCTATTGTCATGTTGATTACAAAGTTAGCTTTAGTTTAAAGAGAAAAAATGATTTTGAAAATTAAACTTCGACAACCCACATCTGATTTAGGAACAAAATATAATACTGTCATGAGTGACCACCCTGTTAGGCTTTACACGCGCCAGCTCACTAGCCTTAGAACCTAAACCACATCCACTAATAAGTATTATAAGAACTAGTTAGGGTGACACCTGATGGCATGCTCACTCTGGAGACAGTCTCCTTTGGTGTCCCAGTGCCAACTAGAGAAAGTACCGTCTTTTATATTCTTATATTCAATAGCTTATTTATCATCACTTCCGTGTTTTACCATTATCAATCCTTTGCATATTTGGTTCAATATTATTATCTTCACGAGTTTTATTTGTGGATGATTGTTGGCGCGTCCATTACCAATCACCATATATTAACCTTTAATGACATTTAGCAACAATCTCACATACTATTGTAAGTAATTTAAAATCAGTTTGCACAATAGTCGCTTTTTCTTCCTAATGTTATTGTAGCTCCTGAAGATGATGGCATAGCCCGTCGAAAGCTAGAGACTAACAAAGTATAAAGAGTCCTCGTCGCTTTAACCTTGTCGAAGTACCCATCTAAAGGCGGAAGCTTTATTTTTTCACTTAACTATATATATAAAGAGAAAATGATCATGCGGAGAAAGGTATATAACAAAAAGTAGGAAAATAATGGGAAAAATCCGCAAAAAGGATGACAGTGGATTCGAGCAGAAAATGGGATCCTTGTATTTCTTTGGGTAGAAGGCAAAGTTTTGCATAAGTACACTCTTACAATATATATATATATATATATATATATATATTGTAATATAATATATATATATATATACATATATTTATCAAATACGAATATAGATGAGAAGACGCCATCCTTATTTTTTGAAGTCACAATTACGCATGCTAGTGGCTATCCTCAAAATAACGGGTCAAGTTAGCAAGCTGAGGTATGGATTAATGAAATTGATGTATAGGTACTCTACAGGGTGTTTCAAATTCAAGCTTCACCATAATGATCTCGGAAACTATAAGAGATACAAATTCGCTCAAATTAGAGCAAATCTGCGTAAAAAAGTTTTTATTTTTTACTGACATAATTTGTAGTGGGATTTCAAAATAAATTATACAATAACATTGCCACTTGTTCTCCTCTACAAGAAGGTATAATCACAATTTCAATATGATATTTCGTCTCTTGTCTTAAAGCATCAACTTTATTTTTTCTTACGGGAGCCATATTGGATTTTTGCGCAGAGGAATAGAGTTTGTAATTCTGATGCCAAAAATATATAATATCTACGTCATACATTCGCATTGATAATCATTTGTTTCGCATACCAGATGTATCGGAATACACCTTTATTTTTTCCTGATGTTATTAAAGGTGGGATTTTCAAACTGACATTGCTTCTTTCGACTTAAATCACAAACTCTGTTGTCTTATATGGATGGAATATTGGAGTTATGTACATTTATGTGAACCTTTTAGTCCTAAATTCAGTGATATTTCCTTAGTTCGCCATGAATTTGTTGTTGGATCTGAATTATAAGGAAACAAAAAGGTATGCTGAAACCTGAACACAAAACGAAAATTTTATTGATGGTAATAACACTAGGAATCATAAATATGGAGAGGCAAATCATAGCAGATGTTCAAAATGTTTTCCGTTTTTGTATATGCAAAGCCTGTCTCTGTACATTGTTCACTGCTCGATTTATTTTCCTTCATCTCAGTCTTCCAAACTCTGTTACTATATTTAATTTGAGGTCTGGTCTGGTATACGAAACAAATTAAATCTGATAATTTCAAGGCCTGCCTAGGAACTTACGTTTTTGTTGAATAACAAGGTTTAGCAATGTCAATATACGACATACTATACATTTCTGAAATCAGAATTAAAAACTCTATGCGTCTGTGCAAAATTTCAATATGGCGTCCATAAGAAAAAATAAAGTTGA